TTTTTATTGTTTATTTAGTATAACATTTTATTTTGTATGTTGTTTGTCCAAAATTAAACTGTTTTTAGTTTAATTATTACTTTACTTATCTATAACATTTAGTTTTTTACTTATTAGTTATCAATATTGTATATTTATGTTTTCAGTTCATTGTTTGTTTGCTTTTGTATTGTAATGTTTGTATTGTTGTTAGTGCTTGGCTGTTATTGGCCTTTTTGGCTGTTGTCAAGCACTTTAATAAATGAATTGAATTGAATTGAATTACGCTGCCAACTACCACCAGTGCGCTGTAGGAATGCAAACGAGGTGAGGTTATCTATGGCAACTGTGACTGGGAGTAGAGAATGTTGGTAATGCCTGTGATAGAACCATAGATAACCCGTGGAGAAGTGTGCTTCTGTTATCTATGTTTAGTGTGGAGTGGAAATGTGTGCTTGTGGGAGTGGGGTGAAGAGGGGCTTGGTTTGGTGTAGATGGTGTTAGTCATTGCCGTATCCTTTTTGTAATAGAATGTTAGCATTGTATCTATTTCATGTTGTTGCGCTTGTCAAAAGTGGTCAAAGGCAGAGCATGTGACGTGAGAGTGTAACAGAGAAGTCTATTTAAATATTGTCTCACACAAGCGAAGAACCATTTGGTAGTTTAAGTGCGTCTGAGGTATACCGGCTGTGGCATACATGCCTGTGTCAAACGAATTGACGTGCATGTTGTGATAATTTTATGGTAATAACTTATATATTGTAAGCTGATAATTCCGTTTCATCTTTAGCATTGTATAAGTTATGGTAATAACTTATATATTGTAAGCTGATAATTCCGTTTCATCTTTAACTTTGTATAAGCTAATTTAGCAAAATGAATTACATGGAAATTACGTTGCCGAATTACTCGTATGTGTTCAACTTTGAAGAGGAATTCAAGCATCAGGATACAAGAGTTTGGATGATAAAAAATTGGACAAATGTCTTTTACTTTTGTGGAATCTACATCATCTTAATATTTGGTGGGAAGCATTATATGCAAAACAAACCCAGATTTGAACTCCGTAGAGTTCTGTCTATATGGAATACAGCATTGGCAGCATTTAGTATCATTGGAGCCTGCAGAACTGCACCCGAGTTCTTCCACGTTCTCAAGAACTATGGTTTCTATTATTCTGTCTGCATACCAAGGTAATTAAATGTGTACCATGTAATGTGGCATAACTTGAATAATATTTCATATTTTATTTATGGTTTATTTTCAACGCTGTCTGTAGCTCAGATTATATGGCACCAAATGGCAGATTAAAAAAATATTAATTGTAGGGGATATTGAAGAAAGTGGGCGAGGGTTAATAAGGTTGTGACATTTTACTGGAGGGACTGAGGAAGACCACGAAGTTAAAACATTCTATTCGTACTGCATCCGTTGTCTTTGTGAGTGGTTTGAACTGTGTTCCTGTATGCTACAGAACAGGAAAGAAAAGAAACGTACTCTGGAAATGGGGCTTTAATTTAATGACTGGACAGTAGAATAATTACATTCGTGATAGGAGAGCTTTTGGAACTGGAAAGTGTTGAAGAGCGCTGTAACCCGGATATGTATATTGGTAGAATATTCAGACATTTTTATCTTCGATGATAATGGCCCAGGTAAAATTGAATTTATTGCAGGCTGAATTTATTACAATACTGATGATTTTAATAGTATATTCTACATGTGTCAACAATGTTCATGCAGATTACAGCAGTACATCATAGTAAGTTTGCTGAAGTTGTAATACAGCTGACTTTGTCTGTGAGATGTCCAATTGGAATTTTTTCCAATGCACTGGGTATTCTGGTTAAGAATTATCTTCATTTTCCTCAGTTCTACCAGGTAATTGCAGGTTGAAATTGACCATGACTGAATTTTCTGCATACCATACAATATGTAATGAACCTTTTATCTCATTTGGCACTAAATAACATCTGCAGTTGATGAATTTGTTTTGTTGAATAATGCCATGTTTATATTGAACACTATCCATTGTCTGAAGTATATTTAATATAAACATCATTTTGGGAGTTGACTTTACTCCATTCTCAGTACTGGTTGTCCATTAATCTGACAGATAAAATGCCAGTGAACAAGGTCTAGTTCTTTCATATTTTGAAATTTGAAGAAAGAAAATTAATAAATGTTGTCGATTTAACCACAAAGAAGTTAAAACATTTCTTGAAGTGGTTTTAATTTGGTGATGATGGATACTGTTGTACATGGCTTGACTTTGTAGTTGAGCAGATAAAAACATCATTATGCTTTGTAAAATGTTAACCGCCCATGACAGAATTGAACAGCATTATTCTTTTGGAGATATTGCTGTGTTTGTATTTGTTTTGAAAACAATGCATCAGTTTAATGCTATGTTTAAGCATGCATGTTTATACCAAACAGTTTAACACATTGTGTTGGAGGATATTATATTAGGCATTATGCCACTTATTAATGGCTCATTATGAACTGATTTATATTCATAATATCAAAAATTATATTAATGTATTTGTTGAACTTAATATCTAGTGTGCACTGAATATACTTGTGATTATCTGTGGACACAACTTAGGAATGCAGGCCACTTCTTCTTAATGCTAACATACTCATGAACACTGTCACACTTCATGTCTGTGAATTGGTATTGTTTGCATGTTTGTCTGTTTTGTAGACCTTGTAGCATGTGAGATCACTGGCAGTTAAACATTTAGCTATCTCCTAAAGTACTAATGAATTTGCCTTTCTTTATGAGAAACATACTGTGACTTACGGGAATAACACGCTATCTCTATCCCACACCAACAGTGCACTCGGCCGAGCACGCAATGCAAGCAAGGCCGTTACAGCATAAATTGTAGACCCGGTATTATCGTATATTGCAAAATAAAGATGACATAAAAGTGAAGTTGGGCTTCCTATTTATTTGGCAACAGACGAGTGTTCAGTACTACCAAACTGACAGTTACTTTCCCAGTTTAATATTAACAATGAGAGGATTGCCCTGAAAAAAGACTCATGTGATTGCTGAGGTTATTAACATAATCATAAGTAGGTGTTCAAAATGTGTCTAAACATGATGTTTCGCAGTGATTTTTGCAATTTTTGCCAGGTGTAAATTTTATTCCATGATCCACCAATGACCTTCACCTTACACTCCAGCTTTTGATTTCCTGTTAGGTTCTTTAATTTATATCACGTCTTTCTCTTTGTTCAGCTTCATCGAACAAGACCGTGTGTCAGGTTTCTGGACTTGGATGTTTACATTATCAAAAGTCCCAGAATTGGGAGACACACTGTTCATCGTACTACGGAAACAACCCCTCATATTCCTTCATTGGTATCATCATGCGACAGTGCTCATATATACCTGGTATTCATATTCGGAGTATACATCTTCAGCACGATGGTTCATCGTTATGAATTATTGTGTCCATTCCTTAATGTACTCGTATTATGCACTCAGGTCAATGGGGTTTTCAACTCCAAGATCATTTGCTATGATTATTACAATACTACAGTTGGCTCAGATGATAATTGGATGTGGGATCAATATCTGGGCACAACAGGTGGTCAGGCAAAAAAACATCTCACCTACAAATGTCAAACTGTCCCTTACTATATACTTCAGTTACTTTGTGCTATTTGCTAGGTTCTTCCAGACAGTGTACTTTGGGAGTGGGAGAAAGGCGAAGGGTGCAGTTTCAAATGGAATACCATCAGTGCACGACAGCAAGAGTAAGGTTAAGGCTCACTGAATGTGAAATAAATTGAGCCTACAGTCAGCTCATAATTGAATTTTGTCTCTTACTTAATTACCAGTTGTGTGCATAATTGATTGGTCTCTGGGACATTCTGGAAGTGGTTTTCTATGAAGTCATTAAAGAAGAACAATGCATTGTTTTTCAGTAAAAAATTCCACTTTGTGATGGATACATTCTACATTTACATTGTGCCTCTTTCTTGTGCAAAGTTGCACATGTTGTTATATGCTGTGTTGAATAGGCAAGCAACACGTTTCTTTGTGCATTGCTTTAATCTTTTGTATGATAAGGAAAATATACAGCTTTTTCACTTAAAAATGGCATCAGAAGGTGTATGTAGTGTTGTTCATGTTGCATTTACTAGGTTTTCAGTAATCTGTAGATACAAAAGATAGTGGACAAGAATCTTATCAATAAATTAAAAGGAAGGGCTGTTATTAGAAAGTAGTTTTTTATAGACTCCATATGGATTGACAGAAAGTGATTGAGTTTTTGTTGCATGTTATTTCAACAGCAATAACACAATATAGTACTGATTTTGTTTAACTGTGAAATCAAGTCCTCATATTTGACTGCTTTATTTTATTAAATTTCACTGTTATTAAAATCCGTAGTACTTTGGATAATTTTACTCTTTTGACTACCAAGAAGGCACAAGGTAATTCTTGTATGTCAGTAGTTATTTATGACTCATGTCTCATGTTGCATGGTAAAAAGACGCTACATAAATATAGTTTAAGGGTGGTGCATCTTTCATCTAGGTGCTCATTCCTGTCATTAATGTTAACATGATGTAGAGTTGCAAAATAATGTACTATGTCACAGAAGCCAATAGTTTTGGCATTTGTGATTGCTTAATATTGAGAGTTACTTGTATTTCATGCATTACTATTTCAGAATTCCTAGTATCAAAATATACCAGAATTAAAATTTATAAGATTCTTGCTAGACCAACTCTCAGTTATGGTAGTGAATCATGGACTATCTGATATAATGATGGAAAAAGATTAATATCAGCAGAAATGCATTTCTTAAGAAGAACTTTTGGGTTACACACTTTTTTGATCACTAAAGAAATGAAGAACTTGTGGACATTATGGAAAAGCAACTAAACATTATACCAATAATAGATTTTATAACACAGTACCAGAAAAACTGGATGGAACATGTACACAGAATGATTTCAGGCAGGTTACCAAAAATAATTTTAGGATACCACCCAAAAGGAAAGAGATGTTTGGGCTGACCCCTCAAAAGATGGAAGGATTCTGTTATGTAATGTCCATAACAGGCCATGAGGTCTATATGGGAAAGGAAGAAGAAAAAGAAGACAGTTTCAGAATTCAGTTTATGGTTGTAAAAGGAAATTTGGAATTTATAGAAATTTTTAGCCAATCCAGCTGTTTGTTAGGGAAAAATAAATTTTTATAAACCTGCATGTTTTAGTTTTCATATCAAATGCTATATACATATCATATTATTGATTTCCCACGTACAAATTAAATTATCTTTACTTTTCAGACCCAGCAGCAGTTATTCCAAATCCCATATCAGTATTTTTTTAATGACAGTTTTGCAGCAAGTTTCATGCTTTAGAGTGTATTCAACTTATACAGTTCATTTTTCAAAGGGCTCAGAATGATCATATATGTTCCAGTACTGATTGGTCATTTCCTTAATATGTTGTTGTCTGTAAACTCTTCAAATGGGATTCATTAATTCACAGTGATTTGTATGCAAAGAACAACTTTATTTTACATTATTTGTACTAATGTTAAGTATCCTGTCACTGTTGGAAGTAGAGCATAATTCAGTGTGTATATTTTATAGACTTCTCCGCCTCCAATCCAGTTGGTACCATTGGTTTTTTCCCCTTGTGTAAAGATGTTAGGTCATGGAGATGTCTACTCGCCTCCAACTATGTTGCATTTAGCATTAAGAATAAGACTGTTTTTCTCATGGACTGTTACTCCCATTGGCATTACCAGTGTGAAGTCACATTTTATATTTGTTTTCATGCACTAGATTGTTGTAGTACATTCCTTCATCAAGGTGGCAGGTGAAAGCAATCCATAATTTTGATGGAAGATTTAAATATGTTTTAACATTAATGCGTTTTCTACTAAACATAATAGCTTCCATGTCCTTGCCACGTGAACAAAGTCTATTCTTGACATTGGATGGGCCATAATGTCAATTTTAAGAATGTATGGCTGTTTGCCCAAACATACTCTGTATGTGTTCAGGCCATGGTACACAGATAACCTGTACTTTCAAAAGTTGTTAAGGTTGCCAATTTGTGCTTTCCTGTACACTAAGTGGTAAATATTTATCCCTTGGTCTCATTGCTTTCCATATTTGACCCTTTTCCTGCATAAAATGCTGTATTTTCCAGTGCATGACACATTTCTCTCCCATAAGTACCCTCTAAAACCACCCTTTGTCTTTTATGCTGGTTGAAATGAAAATATAGGAAACTCTGAAATGATGGTAAGTCAGAAAAGGAGATTTTTTATTTCTGTGTTCTATGACAAGTGAAGGTACATGTATGGGGCAAAGGAAAGAGAACATAATATTTAAATTATTAAACAAGTAATGTTTGTTACTGGTAATTTCCATATGCTTGTGTGTTTTTAAACAGCAACATATAATTTTTATAGAAAGTACTTAGCTGGAAGTATCAAGAGATGGTACAAGATCCTATTCTCTCTTGCATCACATATTGTAATGCATACCTTCAGCTTTCTGGGACAAATTTTGAAAACATGAGAATGGGAATTTTGTAATGTAAACCCACGTTTCATCTTTTGATGTTTACATTGCAAATTAGCATCTGCAAGTATGAAGGACTTTTGGACATTGTCTTCAGTTAAAATCAATATTATGTGCCTCATATTTACCTGATGGTCTAATACTGTGCGCTTATATGCCTAAAGTTTATTCTGTATGAAAATAAGGCAAATATTTACTCTTGGATTAAAATTAATGCTTTCAAGGTTGAAGAGTATAATACAGGGGTTTGGCTGTTATTTTTACTATCCTAGAACAAGCTATTTTGAAGTGACTCAACTGGAGAGCCTTACAAGCACATCACCATTAACCATGATGAGAATGAAAGGCTTTAGATGAGAAATGTAATGCAAAGGTGTGGTGTGGATATTAATTTGTAAGCATTCCTTATGCATTTTGAATGACTGAGATATCTTAAACTACATACAGGTTCAGGAGCAGTACATGGAATTAAGGAAATGTGCAGTGCTTTTTTCCTGTCTTTGTACATTAAATTTAAGTGTCACATTCAACTTTAGTTTTCCAATAGTAAAAGTATTTGTTTCCAGTTTTTTGTGAGAATGTGCATAAATTTCAAAAGAAATTGTGGAGAATACTTGAGAAATCCTAAATGTGGCTTGTAGTATTTTTTCATTATTCAGTTACATGAAGTGGTATTATTTTCTCAAGCCTTCTGAGGCATAGTGGCCACAGTGTACTTCTATAAATACAAATCCTCTTTATATATATAGAAAATGTTATTGTAAAACATCATTTTATGTACATTGTCAGCAGTGACTACATTAATTTTAATTTGTGCTTGTGACTAAGCTGTGTGTTTTCACATCATTACTGTAGACAATGTTGTGTGTATGTTGGGCATGTGTGGCTTTTACAGACGGTAGTTTCAAGTTAAATTTTTTTATTTATTTAATCAGTTTTACTTTGTTTCTATGTTACTTAAGCTAACTTTATAGGGTGGTACTTTGAAATTGTTAAGAACATTTGTGACCAAGGTTGTGAGAGTTTTTATTGATTTGTTTATTAGGCAGTTTGACACATTTGAGTAAAAAATTGACAGTCATTTGTATAAAAACATTGAGTCATGTTGCATGTGTCTCTCCTTCATAGCAGGTACATGTTGACTAAATCTGTGTTTGTCAAAAGAAATTGCTGTGGATGCATTTGTGAGCATTATGTTTGGTGTAACTGCATTAATGAACAAGAAATTAATTGTGGTCACAATTTTTAAGTGACATTTTCATATGAATATTTCAGTTATATGGGGTTGCATTCTCTAACAAAATACTGCTGTGTTTGGCTTTCATGAACAAATACTTGGTTGCAGTAATATTTTAATGTGGAAATTCTATATATATTAAGAACTTCAGTCATTGTACATGTGAAAGATGTTTAGTTAACTGAGTTTATTCACAAGTGCACATAAGAAAGTAAATTCCAAGATTAGTATGAAAAATTACCACACCTGAATCTGGTTACTTTTAACTTTTTTATAGTTTATGACAGTTTATGACTACTTCATAATCACTGTGGTTGTGTTTTAGAATTGCTTAAGTGTTTAAGATTATTGTGGCCCAAAGTACTGAATATAAAGAAATATGAACCTCAAATTATATATCTTATATATTGGAAATGAAACTGATCAATTCTTATGTATATTCGTACGTTAAATTCGAAAATGACAATAAAAAAGCTTAGTTACTTCGCGTTTTAAAGATATTTTAACATTTTCTTCAAGCACATTCCATTGCCTAAGTCGCAATCCTAGCAACTCTGCCTTATACTTAGGCAAGTCTAGATCTCTTACTAGATCATTCAGTTTACTTTGAATTACTCTGTGAGACGTAGACGGTAACGTTTCTGGCACAAACTCTTTATCTTGAGATGCTGATGATCTTGGAATGGCGTCATCTGATGATGGTGATGGTGAACATTCTTTGCCGCAATCAGCTGTGTAGGAGATAGGAGGGACAGGTATAGGTAGTTCATGGTTGTGGGGTATAGGACGAATGGCTGAGGGGATGTTTGGATAGATGAAAGCATGTTTTTTCTTATTGTTTATGCCGATGACAGGAGGAATCATACAGAAGTAGCAGTCGTTTACATGGTTATGCGGTTCCCGCCACACCATGGGCACAGCGGAGGGCATAGATTGCATTTTTCCTTTTAGCCACTCATGTAGATTTGTAGAACACTTCAGACAGTAAATATGGGGTGCCCGTGCCCTGTCCATGTCACCCACTTTGCAACCAAAATAAAGGCGAGACGATTTCTTAACGATGGGGGTCAAGTTTCGATTTTGTGATTTAAAAGTCGCTTCTCCACAGATATGAGAAAAGTTGTTAGGATTATTGACACATCTACGCGAAATTTTGTATATTTTAGTGTTA